TATTCCGGAATAGCACAGAAGTTATTTGAACGAAATTCTTTGTGTATCGGAAAGGAGGGAGAAAATTTTACAGATACTCACGAACTTTCAGGAGAAAAAAATTAAAACTTCTGAAGATCAACAGCAACGTCGGCAAGGAAGGTCTCTTCAGAACAGTGTTCCTTCCCCCCCCCCGCTTTCAGAAAATTTAGCCTAGGGTCCTTTCATGAAGGTGCCTTGAGAAATATGTAGTAAGTGATTTTCACGTCCCCGCGAGTTTTCAGGATAAAAAATTGGTAATTCCTGTAAATGAACAGCTGAAGTGATATGGTCACCATCAGAACCGCGTTGCTATCCGCATTCGCATTTAGAGAATATATAGTTTGTTTGGGGTCCTTTCAAAAAACTGCGTGGTGATGGGATGGCCAGTGATTTCTGGATATCTGCATACTGTGCGTATACGACGGTAGGCCAAAACATCAGTGCTGGTTTGTGCAATGGGCCTATCAGATATTGTTGAATGACATAATGTCGCTAACATCACCATCACCTCGATAACGACCCCTCCTCCTCTTCCTGATACCATACGACCCCCAGGTGTGGCGTGCAACACCCCACGCTTGACCCTAGATATCAATCTCATCATGCCACTTCTTTTAAATGCTTTCAATTCAAGACCCTGATGCTGTCATTCATATCTTATGGCAACGGACTGCATGGTATCCGTTGCTTAGAATGTTGAGTCAAAATAAACTGACAATGCCAAAATTGTTTCTCTAAGTTTTCCTCTCACGCAGGTTATATTCCGAAATGTTATGGCTAGAAATAATTCGTTTTTATATGCAAGACTCGTAAAATCTTTTCTTTCTTGTTTTTATCCATAAATCTTGGAGAGGTAGTAGTTTAAAGCTTTTTTTAAACAAACATCAACACTCAGAATCTTCTACTCTCATCAAAGGCATCATGCCCCAATATGGCTAAATTTCTAGGAGCTGAGCTCTTTAACTTTGCAAGCTTTGTTCCATGCTGTAATTGATATAAAGATGATTGATTTGGTATTTGATACATCCATGTTTTCCCTATTCAGCAAATGACAAAAAAATTGTGACCTGCCATTTTGAGATTCTAATAAAGAAGCGAAAATGTCTCATGTTAGCGCACAATAAGAAAATTGGGGCATTACACTTCTTTGCACCTTTTTTTCAAAAATAGATCCCAATCGAACAAATTAAACTCCATTTTCCATTGAATTGCTTTTCCATAGATACCAAGCAACAGAAATATGTCTGCAGAAGCGCAAAAGCGACCGAAATTATTTATTAGCCAACCTGATTCGTGCAAAATGGCAAATTTTCTGCTGGCAATTTTCTGCAAATTTTTACATTTCCGCACTGAAGGAAATGTTTACGAGGCAGAGAAGCGAGTACCGACTGGTTCACTCATATTTTGTTCCTAAGGTGCCGCAAAAGAGCACAGAAGTAATGGCGCACCCAAGATCCCGTCGGGGGGGGGGGGGGAGGGGGAGCTTGCCACAAAAATTTTTTCTGGCAAGGGAAGGACCCTCGGTCGAAGTGGGGTTCCCATACGTGATGCATATCATTGTGCTGGTCTTGAGGCACTAATACTAAATCCGTGTTCCTTAGCTGCTCACTGATCTTCTGGGAAAAGTTATAAGCGATGGTTTTCCCAGGATGACCACGAATCGCTTGAGTTAGCAGCGCCGATAAATGTCAGTTGTGGAGGGATGGCTGGGTGGAGAGCTGCGGAGATTATAGACAAGTGAACGTTACTTATGTTTCATTGCATGTTTGCAAATTATTCAACGAGTGCCGGATGTTTCTCTGCCTTGGGGTCCTCTAAGGATACTATCATACAATACAATCTACAAAATGGAAGAATGTGCGGAACATAAGTATTCCGGAATTTTTACCAACATCCATAGTCTCCACAATTATCCACTCGGCCATCCCTCCACAATGACATTTCTCCGCGCCGCTAACTTAACCCTTTAGGACCTGACTTTTTCCCAGTAAGAGAGAGAACTGCTCACCTACTGCTTATGATAGGGTGGCGTTTGAATAACAATACAGAGAAGTTTGGAGCTTTTTCGACAACAAGACTTTTTTATTTTTGATTTTTTCTGCCAACCTTCATTCAATTTTCTGATTTTTTCCAACAGAGATGAAATCGCGTACTCATAGCAGATGTGCTCGTGTGACATCATACTCCACACTTCAGTTAATAGTATAAATTCATTTCAACTATCAGGGGAGATAACTGATATTTTTTCAGCAGATGCTGCGGCATACAACCGTTATCGATTTTTTGTCACTCAATTGCGCACAGAGATTCCTACATTGTTAGCACCACCATAATGGGACTTGCAAATTACTAATAGGAAGGCAAAGGTTGTCTGAAGCTAACTATAGCAATAAGTAGTAGAAATCTGCTGTTGCGCCAGTAACACTGCCCTTTGAAGTTGATGGTGGCAATTGCCACCACCAGGTCCCAAAGGGTTAAGCGATCCGTGGTCATCCTGAGGAAACCATCGTTCGTAACTTTTCCTAGAAGGTCATTGAGCAGCTAAGGAACCGGATTTGGTATTAGTGTCCCAAGACAAGCACAATGATTGCATCACGTATGGGAACCCCACTTCGACCGAGGGTCCTTTCCTGAGAAGGTGCATGGCGTCAGCCACGCACTCAGAGAAATTGGTAGGCTTACTAAAATTTTTGCGGTCCCATAACCCCGAAATTTCATGATTTGGGCGTGGCTGCCGCTACGCCCTCGAAGAAGTAAAATTTTTAAAAATTATATTAATTATTTACAAGGATAAACAAGTCGCTTGCACATGTTTATAACTCATATAAGTAACTTTCAAAAGTTTTGCGACCTTTCGGGAGGAGGGGGGGGGGGGGAGGGCTGGTGTGGTATGCTACTGTTATGTATGTATCACGATCTCGTTTTTGCATTTGGACTTTGCTTAATGGACCTAGGCTGAATACACGCAAGTACTGGATTTTTAGAACTGCTAGGGCAGGTATGTTCGACATTCATTCATCATCCTCCCATGAAACGTTTTTTGCGTGTTCTCAGTATTCCTTGAAGAACTTCCAGATGGTTTGACCGATTGACCTTCTCACGTGTCCCTGCGCAAAACGTGTCTTCTTTCAAGCTTAGTTTTAGGAGCGTCGATCTCATGCAGGATTCTTGTGCTGTTTTTTCCTTTTCGGAGAATACTTCTCCCTGCTCTCACTGTTCCGCGCTTTGCTGCCGAATGTTCTTGATACCATCTTATGAGTCTGATTTTACTGACTAATCTAATGTTGTTTTGCGATGTTACTAATAAGTTTAGTGACGATATGCCCCGTATCTACTAAAGCTCTCCTTCAATGCAACAGTCAGCTTCAGTGTTTGCGTTGGTTATTTCTTGATTTTTCTTCCTTCTGTAATGCGCATCACGTGTGCAACAAGTAAATAAATTTGAAAAAAACTCCCGCCTAGCACACTATTCACTAGGCAACACGCTGCCGCTGGCTTTGTGTGCGAGGTCCGCATTTATTATCGGGCGCGCGAACTTGAGCGAAATACGCTTATAAACCTTTACATAAGAACGCACAGCAGATGTCGAACACGGGTATGGGTTTAGCCTACTAGAGTACCTATGTTGTTGCAGGTAAGCCGGCGCCTTTTCCTGGTCGGTCAAGGCGTCATCATTTCTTCATAAGAAATCCGGGTTGTTTCGTTTATTAAATAGATGATCATGGAATTGAAGTTATCTAATGGAATGTTTCGCTTACTTACATCTTTGTTCATGATGACCAGGGTCAAGTGGCATGAAGTGTGGTATGCCACACCTGGGCGTATGAGACAGGGATCGGAGGGGGTCGTTATCGAGATGATATTAGTGTTAGCAATAACATGAAATTCGTTTAATGTGATAGGCAAATTACTAGTACATTGGTGTATTGGCCCTACCATTGCCTACATACAGTAAGCATGATGAAAGGGCCCTAAACGCATAAGAAGCTCATTTCCCTAATATTAGCATGTTAAATAACCCCTGTGGCTTAAGTTCCAGCTAGCTTTGAGGATTCTAAATATTGGGCCACCCGAGACGTCATTTTCGAACATGTTAACTATATTTCATATTTGAGTTAACCACTTCTTTTTGCCTTAATGCAAAAAACTACCACTTCTTTGCTCACATTAGGAATCCCACTCTAATAATCTCCCTATAGAATTAAGACTTGTCCCATTGTCTTTTCGTTTCTCAGGCTAGAGAAGACCAATCAGGCTCAAATCATGTTCGTGAAAGTTCTGAGGTCTAGGCTATCGTAAGTATCTATTCTCGCTACCTTCTCTTGCGATTTGCATTGTAGCGCACTTAGCATGTTACCGTAACCCAATATTTTCGTAGTATTTCCCAATTGCATAGGTAAGGAAAAACGGTTATGTCTTTCAATACAAGGATCGATTTTGAACGAAATTCTTGCTATGTAGAGAAGAAGATTTGACAGTGGCAACTTTATAAATACAAAAATATTTGAATGCTTTGAAGGTACTTTATTGGGGTGTGGCACAACCCCAATAATAGGGGTAGCTAATTCGTTGTGAGATATAGTACCGTGTTTGAAAATGACGATCTCACTTGAGTGGCTCAATACCATGAACCCTCAGAATTCGCTCACGTTTCCCATAGGAGTTATTGGACATGACAATTGCGATATGTTACTAATTATGCTTGGTAGGGACTTTACAGGTCTGCCCCAATCGGGACCAGACGGATCGTTTGCTGAATTTGCGCGCTCGCAGCGCTGGGAGGTGCCCGCTACATGCGCCCGCTGTCGCAGAGAGCGAAGAGATTAAGGAGAGAGCAGACTAGCTCGCCGTAGACGTAACCCTTTTGGGGCGGGAGGAGGGGAAGGGGGGGGGGGGACGTTGAGACAACCTATGGGCAGGGTGTCTCCAGCGGTTGTGGCCACACCTCTTGCTCGATCCTGATGATGACCAATTTTTAGAGGCTGGACAACGACAACTTTTCTACGATCTCCGAAAATGTCCACATATCTGTTCGCAATTGTGGTAGGTACAATGCCTTATCAAGAGACTTACACGGAGAGAGGTGTAAGGGTAAGTAATGCCCATTCATGTGCACTTAGCTACTCATTAGCTGTTTTGCTCAGATCCGAATCTATGCAGAGGCTGAGAAGCTGAGAGACACTACTTTTGCGCTCGCCCTTGTGCCGAGACTACTAGCGTTTTTTGAAGATTATTTCCAGTTGCCGTATCCGCTGGAGAAATTGGGTAAAGTTTAACTCTTCGTTGCCTACTAAATACAACTAGTGATAATTATCAAAGCGAACTACAAGGATGAGATCATTCAATGTCAAACTGCACGGCCGCTGCTGTTCTGCTGCTTCAATAGTGGATGTTGCTAGGCTTGACAACCAGCCGACATAATCGTTCCATCCAAGCAGTTTGCTCCCTTTGTTCACGCCCGCGCATGTTAACGAATATAGCGATCTGAATAAGTCAGTTCACAGCCACCACAAGGAGTAGGGTGACTCACTTCTGCTTACCTGCGTATCCCAGCTTGAAAATCCTATGCCTTCTGAACCGGCCAGAGAGCCAAGATGGTACAGCGACCCGTCATCTCCTAACATGAAATTTTCCCGATAGAGGACTCTATGGGGAAGATCTGGCAAACTTCTCTCACCTAGTTGGATACCCCGACCATAATTGCGCTTGACGGGACTCCGCTGCGTCAATATCTGATAGCGAGAAAATCTTGCAGACTCGACAAGCAGAAATAAGCGAACAACCTGAAAACATGATCACACATGGTAGATTAGAAATGAAGCAGCCTATGATGAACGCCAGTGTTTCAAAGATTTAAAGGCATGCTCATAAGTAAGGGTCCTGAGCTCTTGGCCGCATACAATATTAGGATTTCCCTTCTGTCAAGCCCAAATCGCGGCGCGGGATGTCGCTTCTGAATCAAAAAATCACTCCGGAATAACGATGAGTCACGAGTACCCTAGGTGGCATTTTCCTCTCCAGCAATGCCTGCCCATGCGTGCTCACCCACCCAATCACCGTTAGGAGAAGACGACCCGTTGGTTCTTCGGAACGAAGGTTGTCGGGGTTTGCGCGAATATTCGACTTCATACGGAAACAGGGCACACATAGCCCCGGAACAACAAAAACATGTAGAGAATTTGGTTGGACAGTCTCTTGAGAAGTTTAACGACGGTTACAATGTTGCTTGCATCCTTATGATCCACCTCACTAATCTGTGGCCATTGATTTGCGCACGTCTATCAAATTTTACAATCGACTGATCTTTCTCTTAACTGGCAAGGTTATTTTCTTACTTAAGCATGTATTGGAAGATGTTTACCAATTCGCAACCAGTTTCTGAGCGACTCAAAGGCAGTGTCCGGGCAAAAACTCGATTTTGAGATTTTGTGCTTACCCGGGCCTATTCGCTATGCTGAATCCGAAAATCCACATTGGAGAGCGCGAAAACGGCAAAAAAGGGCTCTAACACTGGAGGGAAATCAGCAAGTGGGCGGAGTCTACCCCACTGTGAATTCATGCTTCCAGTTTCCAGAGCAATTTTCTCGAATCCGTTTTAGCCGCCCTGACATCACTACTGATCAAGTGCAAACGAATGACTTGAAACCGGAATCAAAAAGATCGCCTCCGAAGCTGGGAGCGTGAATTCACCGTGGGGAAGACCCCGCCCACTTGCTGATTTCCCTCCACTATTAGAGCCCTTTTTCGTCGTTTTCGCGCTCTCCAATGTGGATTTTCGGATTCAGCATAGCGTATAGGCCCGGGTAAGCACAAAATCTCCAAATCGAAATTTTGCCCGGACACTGCCTTCAAGCAAATGCTTGCTGCTCATAGCGATGGAGCAACGGTGATCTCGAATACTATCAGAAATGTTCTCTTACAATCCGATCTCTTCAAGCGTGCAACGAAGGTGCATAGCGTTGCGGCTAGGCCTGTGTTCAATTCAAATCAACATGAAATCTCTTGTGTGGATTCGTTAGAGGCCCATCAAACCTATTCATCTGCTAGAAGTCTTTGATCTTACACATATGCACGCAGAATTTGAAAAAGTTTTCAATCCTTCCAGTCCCTTAGAAAACAGAAGAGGTTTATGCCTAAAATCCAATTGCCGCGCCTAGCTTTGAACACCAACGCACGTTGCAGTTGGAGACGGTCGCGCTTTGAAGCCAAATGTAAGCGCCTCCTTCAAACATACTTTACAAAGTTTGATGGTCATTTCTGTTGGAATATAATGTACACTAATGGAGACAACATAGATGTTGACCGGAATATTCATGAGCAATCAAAGGCAGCGTCCAGGCAAGAAGTCTGGGCACATGGGAATCTCAAGTGGATAGTAATTTTGGAGCCCTAACTAAGCTACTGTCCAACCGTCGGCTCAGGTAGTGCTCTAACGGCTGAGATATTCTCCTCGAAACTGGACCCCAGAATCATATTTCGCATGGATTCATGGCGCAAAGCGTGGGTCCTCACGCGAAACTGCAATGATTCCATGCGAATACGATCTTGGGATCCAGTTTGGAGGCGTATTTTCAGCCGTTAGTGAGTCACCTGCGCTGCCGCTTGGAGAGGGGTTGAGGAACGAACACTCAGTTAGGCACTGCCTCCGCGCGCTGCTGGGGCATTCATCCTACTGATGTGCATCGTGTTGGGACCAGTAATCCGCGGAGGCGGTGACTATACGAGGTGTTCGTTTCTCCACCCCTTGGAAGAGCCTTAATTAAGGCCCCAAAATTACTTTCTACGTGAAATCCAAGGGGGTTCGGATCTGCCTGGACGCTGCCTTTGAGACCGCGATAACTGCTCGCCAATGCTGGTGTTGAAGGTGCGTGCAACTAGGTTCTACAAGGCCTGTACCTCTTCCGGGCGCATCACCCAGCCAGCAGCAGCATCTAGCTTTGAAGGCGTCCAATAAGTGTAAGGATTGGCATTGTCTGGCGAGTAATATGAGACCTGTAAATACTTGGTTTCCATTTGGTAGACTACTAATGCATATCTGAATTACCTCGGTGTCTTTGGGTTCAACTTCACCTATTCGCGCATCGATCTTATTAGGTTTGAGTATCACGTCTTGTATAAACTCACTGTAAGGACGTGAGCTGATCTGAAAGTCGGACAAGAATCTTGCAAATACCTTTTCTCGTATATTTAGATCATCTTCTTTCCATTTGCTACCTGCTCTATGATCCTTCCTAGCATCACGTAACCAATGTTTGAATATGAATACCTCGTTCCCGGCTGGAACTTGGGCTTGTACGATTTAATGTAGAACTCGATCAGTGCCGTTCCGTTTAGTTGTTTGCTGAAGTTATCAAAATCAATTAGTGTTTTTCATCACCCTTTGAGGTTAGCTCTTCACACTCCCAACCAAGACCTTCTACCTTCTGCACCAGTTTTGCCAGCAAGAGAAGTAATCAATTTATCTAACTGGCATGCTTTACCACAAATTTGATAGATGATAAAGTTTAGACTGGCCATAAATCCAAGCTGGTCGCATTATTGGATTATACTACGGTCGAGTAGATTTAGCGGTAAATATAGTGTGCTTGCACACTATATTTGGGGGCAGAGCTGGCCGAGAGGTTAGTGCCCTTGACTACGGCGAGGAAGGTCACAGGTTCGGTTCCGCGGTGGGCCTAATTTCTTTGGCAAAAGCTCTTGCCCCACGAATCCAGCGTCAGGCTGCTCATCCACAGAGGAAGCAAGCGACAAAGCGGCTGAAGAAGAAACCCCGTCGCATCAGATGCTCTTTTATGTCTCATAGTATACTTCGAGTCAAGGCTAGGGCGTTCCCCGGAGGCGACGCACATTCGAGCCCGACGAATGTGGACAGTAGGCGAGGATTACCGTCTCAGCAAGATGAGCGGGGACGGCCAAAGAAGCTAGCTCATCACAGGAAAACATCCAAGTTCTCGGCATTACGTCTAGCTACTATCAACGTCGGTTCACTCACAGCTCGACACCGCGATCTGGCCGATCTTCTCAGCATACGAAAAGTAGACATCGCATGTATTCAGGAAACCAGATGGAAAGGTGAAAGGGCGCGTGACATCGGAGATGGCTACAAACTTCTGTACAAAGGAACCACGAACAACAGGAACGGTGTCGGCATAGCCGTCTCTGAAGCTCTAAGAGATAAGATTACCAGTGTAGATAGAATGAGTGACCGTCTCATGAGTATAAGATTGGGTACCGGGAAAAAAGTGCTTCGAGTAGTAACGGCCTACGCACCGCAAGTGGGATGTGAAGAATCGGAGAAGGAAGAATTCTGGCAGCTGCTTGATGACTACGTCGCTTCAATACCAGAAGAAGAGATGTTACTGATCGGTGCGGATCTCAATGGGCATGTCGGAGAACAACGAAGTGGTCTACAGAAGTGCCATGGAAATCACGGTTACGGAACACGTAACGACGAAGGAGAACGTATTCTGAAGTTTGCTACAGCCCACGACCTAGCCTTGGCGAATACGTACTTCATCAAGAAGACCAACCACCTCGTCACGTATGCCAGCGGAGACCACAAATCGCAGAAAGACTTCTGGAGCGTACGGTACAGCGAGCTCAAATATGTAAAAGATAGCAAAGTCATCCCACGTGAAGAATGCATGCCACAACATCGGCCGCTGATACTGGATCTCAGCATCCTAGTCGACAAGAGAAGAAGGGCGATGACCGAACAAGAAGTACACATCAAATGGTGGAAGCTTGAAGACAACGCCCAAACCAGAACGTCAATGAAATCTGCCCTGCCGATACTGCAAAGTGATCCAAACCACTCCTGGATGCTTCTGAAAGACAACATTTATCAGATAGCTGGCGACCTGCTAGGCCGCACGAAGCCCGGAAGACGAAAGCTCGAGAAAGAAACATGGTGGTGGAGTGACGAAGGCAGACCGTGGTAAAGAACAAGAAGACGGCATACAAAACTTGGCAGAAGACACGATCAGAAGATGCTCACCAAAGATATCTTTCAGAAGATGCTCACCAAAGATATCTGGAAGCGAAACGAGAAGCCAAGAGAAGTGTCAGAGAAGCGAAAGAAGCGTACGTGGCCAAGCTGTACAGTAAGCTGCACACTCGCGAAGGCGAACGAGAAGTCTACCGAATCGCCAGAAGAAGAGCAAACGCTACAGAAGACGTAGAGCACTTCTACAACATCAAAGATGCACACGGAAGGATCCTGAGGTAGCCACAGGAGATAAACGAAAGATGGAGAGCTCACTTCGCAAAGATGGCGTCCGCTAACCCCGAATACGAATCCACCATAACAGCCGACCCTGTGAATGGACCAGTACCAGCTATCACAGAAGTAGAAGTCCGTACTGCCATAATGAAGACGAAGAACGGCAAGGCTGCAGGTCCAGACGACAACCCCAGCGACTTCTGGAAGAAGTGCGGACAAGCTGGAGTCTCGTGGCTTACACGACTTCTGAATCAAATAATAGAATGCGGGAATATGCCAGATGAGTGGTACAGAAGCACGACGATACCAATATGGAAAAACAAAGGCGACATAGCCGACTGCTCCACATACAGGCCAATTCGACTCATGTGCCATACGTTGAAGATCTTCGAAAGAATACTGGAGACGCGGCTTCGAAATATCATGCAACTGGCCCCCCACCAATGCGGCTTCGTAAAGGGATGCAGTACAACCGATGCCATCCACACAGTGAGAATAATGGTGGAAAGAAGCAGGGAAAAGCAGTGTGAGCTTTATGCGGCATTCCTCGATCTGGAGAAAGCGTTCGATAGAGTACCACATCAACGAATATGGTGGGCGTTACGGAAGCACGAGGTACCAGAAGAATACGTCCGCTGGATCAGAATGATGTACAAAGGAGCCACCAGTCACGTACGAACAGCAGTAGGACGCTCAGACAACTTCCAGATAAACGCCGGCTTACATCAAGGTTCCGTTCTGTCGCCGCTTCTCTTCATCACAGTCGTGGACACGATAGTAAGAGACTTCATACGCCCGCTCCCTTGGTCCGTCATTTACGCAGACGATGTGATCCTGATGGCGAGAAGCAGGAAAGAATTGGAGGTTGACGTGCAGACGTGGAAAACGCAACTCGAGCTAGATGGTCTGAAGATCAGTACCGCGAAGACAGAATACATGAAGCTGGGACCTCAAACGCCAGGAACGATCAAGCTCGCAGACACGGCAATGGAGAAGACCACGTCGTTCAAGTACTTGGGAAGTCGCATATCAGCAGATGGTTCACTCCACGACGAGATGAACGGCCGAATAAACGCAGCTTGGATGAAATGGAGGAGCCTTACAGGAATTCTGTGCGACAAACGGATGCCACTGAAGCTGAAGTCACAGATGTATCGCACTGTAATCCGTCCAACCGCGTTGTATGGAGGCGAATGCTGGCCAAGCGCACGTAACGACGAGAGGAAGCTTGGTGTGATGGAAACACGTATGTTGCGATGGACGATGGGCGTAACGATGCTCGACCACGTCACGAACGATACAATACGATCCACCATGAAAGTAGCTCCGATAGTCAAGAAGCTGCAAGGAAGACGACTGCGATGGTACGGGCACGTGAGCAGACGAGAAGAACAACATATCACAAGGTTAGCAATGACAGTGGAGGTTCCCGGGAAAAGACCACGAGGAAGACCAAAGCTAAGATGGACCGATCAAGTGAAAGCAGATTTGAGAGAACTTGATGCAAGGATAAAAAATAGTGTGCTTGCACAGAAGGTGAAATGCGGTGAAATTTGCGCGTAAACAAGTAGCCACGTCAGTACCGCGGGTATCTTGCGCGCGCAATTGGCCGGCGTCACAGTCGAAACTATTTCTTCACGCGCCAATTTTACCGCATTTCACCTTCTGTGCAAGCACACTATATTTACCGCTAAATCTACTCGACTGTATATATTAGTAAAGTTGCGAGATTACAACTGCTCTAACATGAAAATTCCAAGACTTGACTTAGGCTCCGTCTATTGCGCAGTTCTAACCTTCAAACTTTTATCAAGGTCATGACTTACACAACCATTGAATTTGAAGAAAATACCTAACACTTGGTTTTTTGGCGTCAAGTTTGAGTAAAACCAATAATATTCTGATAAGCTTGTCCGTTTATTTCGCACCTCTCCCCAGACCTAACCACTTTCTGAATCGATATCGAAAACTTGCGAAGAATAAATTTCAACATCCGCAGTGCCCTGAATTGGCTTACGTGCACGTGCAAAGTTTGAACCAAAACGCTTCAGAATTTTCTGCAAACACACGCAAACGCAGTGCTAAGCAGACATTCAGCTACATTTATGTTGTGAGTTAGATGATAGTCTACTTTGCCTAACCATGTCACTTGTAATTCCTCGGATCGCGCTTAGCATTTGTCAGGCAGGGGCTGTACTCTTCGAGGAGTATAGCATCCCTTGATCAATATGCATGAAGCACGTGTAAAATCGGCGATATTTGCTGCCATGGGGATCGCCAGTGAAACGAGCTTGGCATCTATCTGTTCTCAACAGCGCAGCATACTGTGATGACACATACTTTGATGGTACTTTAGAGGCTATTAAACTAGATCTGAGGGCGTCGATGGTATTCCTGTTGCGAAAAGGTGGCAACGCAAGTCGCATACTGCCTGTCTGGAATCGCAGTCATATGAACTGTAAAAGTGAATATCTCCCCGTGGCCCAAATCTGCCATGCGTTTGCTTTTTCAGTGAGTTGAAGGCAGTGTCCGGGCAAGATGTCGACTTTGCGATTTTGTGCTCATCTGGGCGTAATTATATGTTGAATCCGAAAATATGCACGGGAGCACGCAAAAACGGCCAAAAGGGCTGTAATGGGGCATGCACACTTAGAGCGATAGAATTGTCGCGATCTCAAGCAGCGACGAAATCGCGGACCAAGTCACTAGTCGCTCTACTGGGCATTCTTCTGCATCATCTGCATTGCGGTGCAATCGAACACTGTGTTTCGCTTTCCCTGTTTCCGCTCAAACTCGGCCTATGGATCTTATGGTCATGGTGATCACCATGGACACTGTTGCGCACAGGACCGTTTCTGGAGATTATGGTGATGGGCGCTAATCAAGTCCCTGCAACTTTGTATAGTTCACAGTTTGACCGC